TTCCAACCTTAATGATTCTGTGATTCTAACTATCTCTTGTTTTGTGAATTTCTCTAGTATAGGCAGTGTTTCTATGTTATTCTCAGCCTGCTCTGCTATACAGACTGGAATACAGTGTACAGACAGCAGAGCTCCCTGGACTAGTTCCTGCAGACCTCCAAGTACCATGAAGGGAATGCGTTGTGTCCTGAGATGTTTCTGTTTCTGATACCTTACGTTTTGATCCTCCTTTGTTTTGCTTCTTTTCAGCTTAATGAATATTTTCATTACAGCACTCTGCGTGATGAAACCCTGTAATCAGTAGCTATAGACTGTGGGTTTTCAGTCTGAACGAGCAAGAGACACAGAGAAAACAAGTGTGAAGGGAGTTGTGTAGGCATAGTGGCAGAATTTGGGTTAGAAAACTGTATGGACACTCTGTTTGTTAATCAGACTGTCCTAACAGTAATGTATTTGTGAGTTTATAATTTCTAATGTGCTCAAGGAATGGATTTCTTCTCTATACCCTTCTGCATGTCCTGAGAACTCTTTTGTGAGTAAAAACATGGGAGGCAGACTCTTTGGGAATTGCTGAAGGAGAGGTGGGCAAGGCCGGTGGCATGGAAACATGGGTGATACATAGGTGGTATCTGTCCAGCTGCATCCGGGAGCGTGTGTACTGCTCTGGTGCAAGTGCTGAACACTTATTAAGGAAAAACCCAGTCACCGGAAGCAATGAGCAGCTCCTGGGAGTCTCAGAATGGAAGAACTCTCATTAACCTACTTGGAGCAAGTGTGTGTGTGCACATACATGCCCTGTAATTTCATACCTGCTGTTCTTGGAAGGGAGCAGTGGTGGTGTTTTCTTGGAGCAGAAGTGTAAGATGAAATACTGCATTTTGCTAATAGGGTTGAATGACCTGAAATATGTCCATCTGGAATATGAGGATGGGAGGAGGGGACAGGGTAATTTCTGACGAGTCATTGCCACCCTGAATTGACTTTCCTCCCAAGTGTGGTCTTTATTTTCAGCACAGTGCTGAGCAGAGATTTGTTAATTATCATGCTAAAAATAAAATTATGGTTCCCAAGAGCATTCAGATAAGCAAGAGACTCCCACCTCACTGTAGCTGCCTTGGATTTATTAAAAATCCAATATGACAACCGTACTACTTGTGCCTTTCTCCTCAGCTCACCGATTCCGTTGCAAACGCTTTCATAAAATAATTTAGGGGAGCAGAGAGTAGAAGTCTCTGAATAAAAGCTGTGATAAAATGGAAGTGTGTTTACTGTAATGACCTATTTGCTCTTTCCTTTAGGCACAATGGCTACAGTAGCCCAGAAGCACTTTTTGGAAGGGCAGACGTACTCGGTCCCCCTGATCCAACCAGATTTATCAGGTGGCAGATGCACTTCAGTATCTGCAAAAAGTGTCGGGCGATATCTTCAACAGGTACGGTGCTGTCACATGGGGGTTGGGGGCTTAGCATTCAGGAATAGGGAACAGAGTGCTGTGATAAGGTTGCAGCAGTGAAAGGGCATTGCATTGGCAAGCAATGGATGTTCAGAAAAGGGATAAAGAAGGTCCAGATGCACTTCAATAAAAGTTTATTGAATTCGGGTCCATCAAAGTTAAGCATAATGAAATGGCTGTAGTTAGCCAGAGGTCGTTTGTTACTAATTTTTTATTCAGTGGCAGACTCCCACAAATTGCATTACTGCTTCTGCTGCAGTTATCCTTTATTCATTCTTGCTCATGTTTTATATGGGAGACTTACTTATTTAGAGTATATTGAAGATATATCTTTTTGAGTCATTGTACTTGGAGCAGTGGAATAGAAAGTGTCTCTTTGTTCTGATCTCTGGGACTTACAAACTGTTCTCTTTGGAATTCTGGTGTTTTGTACTTCTCTTTGTATGTTGGGAGGGCTGAGCACGTGGGAGTGTCTGTTCTCACCACAGTCTCATAATTGTTCTAAACTGATCTCTTCAGTGGCCCAGACTTGCCACTTCTTGCATATGGTCATCTTTAGGATTGGATCTATAAGACTACCTATATAGCAGAACAGAGAGATTCTTGCGTTTGCCTGCAAATGATGGTAGATAGCGTGTTGCATTTTTTTGTCCAATGCCATCTTTGATATCTCAGTGCCCTGAGATGACGTATCATATCAGTGGTATAGAAACAGATCAGCATCCACCCTCTCAGAGTTTGATGAGCAAAAGTTTTTGCTTTGGTTTCAGTGGGGACCATGACTACCTAGTCTGATTTATTATGGTGCGAGCAGGACCTCTTTTGAGGTTTTTTGTTATTTTAAGGGCAGATTGAAGTTCTTTGATTGTGGGGTTTTTTTGTTGTTGTTTTTTTTATGATGATGCTTTGAAGGGCAGCCTCTGTGGAAAGGGTGGTCATGAAGGCTGAGCTCAGGTCATTGAGACATTTCATTGGAATAGTCTTTGTTGGGGCAAGGGCTCCTGGGCAAGGGCCAGGAGTGTGTGTAGGCTGGATTAGGTTGAACACAAGGTTTCAGTCTTTTGTGTACTTCTCAGTATGTCAACCCTTCATGATACAAGGCTGGGAGAAGGCTCTCTAGAACTGCCAGAAACATGTGGAAGGCACCCCTCGAACTTGGGACTGGTTGGCAGTGCTGCCCCTTTCTGTGGGGCAAATAAAGCTATTGATAAAACAGGAATGGTTCTTTCTCTCTTTTTCTTTTTCTTGGGTTTTTTTTTTTCCTCCTACTCATTGCTTTGTAACGCAGTACCCTGTAATTTCCCCAGGGAGACAAGCCTGCTGTTTTGTATGCAAGTCACTCTCGAGTCCTGAACAGTGACTGTGATGCTGTTCCCTTGCTCTTTGGTGCGCTCATGACTTTTAATTACCATTTTTTTCCATCAACAGAGGAGGCTTCATTGGGCTCTTTGTTTGCTTTGCCTTCCCTCTGAGGTCTCGTGTCTCTGATATAATTAATAACGATTTAGTAATTATGCAGGCGTCTGATTAAAAGTTCTATGACCTTGGGTGTTCCATGCCAATCAAGGGGCAAAGCTTTCAAGATGAGAACTTTGCCACTTAGTGAAGAGTGACCTTTTATTTTCCCTTTCCTGAGATAAGGTAACTCTATCTTCCATTTCCAGGAAGGAGCTGCCTTATCTGGGGAAGCTGACTGTTCTGATCTGCAAAACAGCAGCTTGCAGTGTTGATGGAGAGGAAACTTGTTCAGTACGGCAGACTCAGCTGAGTGTGTCAAACTCATTACTTCAGTACTACAAAGATGCATATGTTCTGGGGTTGTTTTGTGGCAACAGTTGGATAGGTACAGTGCTTTCGAGAGTGGCAAGCTGATTTTTGAGTTGTTGAAGGTGGAGTGAAAGAGTCTTTCTTACTTGCTATGGAAAGAGGAATCTTTCCACAACCAAATCTCTTTTTTTTCCATGCTAACTGATCAAAGCTTCTGCTTTGAGTTGTTGCTGACATGACAGTTGAGTATGAATTCTTAAAATTAACACGTCCATCCATTGTGTGAGTAAGGTGAGCTTTTTTCCCTATTTGGAAACTGTCTGAAGACGACTGTAGTACTGTAGAAGAAATGCTCCCTGGGGCAGTTAGTGGCTGTGCAGAAGCAGTAGTGGCTAAAAGTGCCTGTGGATTCAGTGTTCTGAAGGGGACACAAGACAGACACCTTTGCATTTGGAGAATTGTGAGAAAGAAGATGAGCAGCTTTCTCCCCCTTCCCCCCTGGTTTGGGGAATCTGGGAAACAGCCCATGAGGCAAGTTTCTGCCAAGCTGTCTTCTTTCCAAATGCTCTCAAACAAGCAGACTTGTGATTAAGTTTAACTGTGGCAAGGTACATAGTGAATGAGGTGCTTTGCAGAGTTCATTGGTTTGTAGAAAGTTAAGGGATGTGCAGGTGCAAAAAAACAGATCAACTATGGCTGAGACCCAGAGCAGACCCACTGGGAACAGCCTTGGAGAGTAGGTCTAGCAACCCATAGCAGCTAAACCTTCTCTGTACCTTGCTAACAGTATACCTGGACTGTGATCTGGAATCATGAAGAAAGAGCAGGGGGTAGCTCAGCATCCCTCTCTGTCATATTCCTAACCCTTGGGAGCAGGGACCCATCTGGCCTCTGCCACACGGAGAACAGCAAAGTACCACATCCTGCAGAGGGAGAGCACTGACCTGGGCAGGCTCCTGGCTGCTGGGCAGTACAGGTTGATGTCTTAGGTCAGTCCTGTCCTCTTGGTGCTGATATCAGTACTGTGAGGTGATCAAGAGGCTGCACGTACTTGCCAGAGTTGTGTTTTGGAGTAATGGAAGTTTTAACCTTGAGTATGTTAACTGAATTCATGTAATTAATCTGCTGTGGAAGCTGCAGTAAAGATCAGATCCATTGCCTGTAGCTACTGAGATTTTAATACATATCATTACTGCTTAAAACATAAATATTCTAACATAGCCAATCTGACATAATATCTATATAATTTTAACTCCTAGACTTCTAAGGAGGGCTTTTGATATAGATTACAGGAGACAGAATGACCAATTTAAACACTGAGGAGAGTTTTTGTTGCCAGGAGATGTTAATAACCTCTAATATGTCAGTTCACTATTCAGAGTGTACACTTTTGTATAGCAGATTTGTGAAAAATTGCCTATGCAAGTTATCTCATGGAGTGTTACAGCACTAGAAAACAAATAGTTCAAGTTGGAATGTTGTTATCAAGGTCCTGGTCTCCTTTGCCTGTGATCCAACCACAAGTGGTCCCCTATACAAAATTTCTCATCCTTGTGCTTCTTTTTTTCAGTTTGCAGAAGAATTTCTGGGTTGATCTTTTTAAAAATCTTTATACAGTGTCTTTTGCTTGTCTGGAATAGTATTTTGCTAAACAGGCATATCCTTCTTGTTCCTCCCCAATTGGATTCAAATTAATTTAATATTAAATATCTGAGAAGGGCTTTAATATTAAAGGTTTAACTGAGAGCCACACTTATGAAAGTGGTAGCTGGAAAACAAAAGCACCATGGAAATGCTGTTAAGCATGGGGAAGTGTGATAAGTGTGTGATTAAAGAAGGTAAGGAGTGACTGGCCAGGCAGCAGAGCCTTAAGGGATGTTTGGGACAGGAGAGGGGTTGACATGCAGGTAGTCCTGAAATTGAGAGTACAGACAAAACCTTAATCATGAGGTGCATTTGGGTGTTCCTCCTCTTGTTTTAACCTTACTACTATGATTAGTCATGATGATCAACAACAGAAATGAGTGACTCAATATCTCCATAAGAATATACTTGATTTAGGACCTCTGTGGAATGTGTTATTAAACATTCATGGAAACTTGCAAAGAAGGGTCTGGCTGCAGGCTGTGCCGTTGTCATTTGAGCAGCCTGGAGCTTGGACAACACTGTAGTTGTTCCTCTGCTGGCTGCAAGGGATTGATCTTATTAGAAGGAGAGCTGTCAAGAGGGCTTCATCGTGATGGGTCGCCGTTCAGGTGAGTTTACACCAGGAGACTGGCTGTAGCACAGGGAATCAATTTTTCTCCAGTTACTTTGAGAGTGATATGGCTCTTGTTAAGCAACAGATCACCTCATGGTACTTTGAAATTGTCCCAGAGGCCGTCTGAGGATGCTAGGTCTAGTTTAGTTTCAGATACCTTTCTTGAGGGGCTATAGGAGCAGTCATTTGCTGCCAGGAAGATTGAACAGAAATGGTGAGGTAAAGGAGTGAGCAGATGGTCCTGCAGACATGAGGACATGGAGCATGGGGAAGACAGAGGGAGGAATTTTGCCTGCAGATATTGGTTAGTCTTGTAGAGGCATGTTCAAGTAATGTGTAATTTTATTTTATTTTTTTAAGTGTAACACACACTTTGTAGGAAAGCGGTCATTTGTTTTAGCTCTCGTGGCCCTCTGAAAGATAAATGTGAAAGCTTGTAAAGATGTAGCTTGGGAGAGGTTCCCAAATTGTTGGAAAGACTTTAGGAGGTGACATATGGGGGTCAGATCATCATGGAAGATTGGTGGCAGCTGGCAGTAGCATGCAAGCATCCTATGCCCTCAAAAAAAGGCAAAGGCATAGTGACTGTTCTGCAAGAGTCCAGATTACAACTCTTTCTGGATGCTGCTAAAATCCCTAAGCTTAAAATCTTGCGGGACCTGAGAACCAGGCTCAATTCAGATTCCTTGAGAGCACATGGAGTGGGGCAGCGGGTGGGAAGGGGCACACAGAGCTGTCACAGCTTGAAATGAAATGGGAATAGTAGGAAAGAGGAGACTGAATGGTATTAGGTCATTAAAAGATTATTCCTTCAAAATGAAACAAACATGGTGGAGAATTAGCAAGACAGGATTCTTGCTTATCTCAAAGGGCTGAAAATCTGTGTCTTTCGGACTTCCAGAGATTAAATGTGTGTTTTGAAGAAAAGGAACAGAATGCTAAATTTGATTTT